TTGATTTTAATATCCTCTTCTACTTCCATTCTACATTTAATGTCCATTTTTCCGATGACATCCTCACAAAACATTGATGCATTTTTTGTTATATCTCTATGTTCGTTATATCGTGATTCCCATTCTTTCAGCAACCTGTCCCATTTGGTTTCATCATTCTTATCCTCTTTGGCATCCTTTTCGAGTCCATCCAAGCCTTCCTCAACAGAAATGTCATGTTTGATCTGCTTTTCTTTTTGTGCAATCTCCGGGATAGGTTTTGTTCTTAATAACGTAGAAATTAACTCTTCCTGATCCTCTGGCGGGATTTCCTTTGGATGAAGTACTATCTTTTTAAAATTTGAATCAATGAACGTGTTCGAGAGACCCGTATGTTTCGAGAGAAAAATGTTATATCTGTTAAGATAATCGACCCTTTATAAAAAAGAATTTTTTTTTTTTTATTCAGTTAAAACCATTGAAAACATAGATCCTTACGGAAGAATTTTACCAATTGACATTTGTATCGTTAACGTCGAAGCCAGCAAGAAATTCTCCTTGGGCATCGTTAACTTGTATCATTCTTGACCTCACGACTTCCACCTGGTCCATGTTTTCCATGTTAATCTGCGAGCTTAATGCATAGTTTCCTCTAGGCGTTTGCGACATGTCTAAAGAATCATATAATAGAGTGTGATAACGTGAAGATTGAGTGAGAGGTTGTCTTTTTATAACACTACTTTGATCATAACTGATATGGAAGAAGTTGACGCACTACCCAGGACAGTTGGTTAGACATTTCCCAACCAACCAATAATATTCTTGCTTATCCTAATATAAGTTGAGTGAATTCCCCCCATTCAAGCAAAATAAAAATGGGTCAACTAAATACAGACTTGGACTTTGATGACCTATTACATCTTGAAACAATGTAAGGGAAGATTTCATTTCACAAAAAAACCCATCGTAGTTTTTCTTATCGAATCGAATTGATGCATGTTGTAAAAAAAAAAAAAAAAGGTTCATAGAGTTTGGTAGAGAAGATGGCATAAGAGATGGCATTAAATCT